AACAGCTCCGTGGCTGCGCTGCTGCGGGTGCTCAAGCAGAGCCTTGGCGTTTCGGGAGCTTGGCCCGGGGTGCTTTTTCGTTTTCAACGTTGATTTTTTTTGTATTTTTGAGCCATTTGATTTGTTTTTGTTTAAGGGTGACCCCTGAAAATGGTGGTTTTCTTTTTGGCTTCCTTTTTAAACCAACCGAAGACAAGTTTGCTCGAGTCTACAGGGTTTAGAGCAAAGTACGCACATGCTGGGCTTTCAGGACTCTACGCGTGCATCAAAGGAGCGATGCTTCCTGTCGCTTTGGGAGTTTGGGTTGGCTTTGTTTGCTCGTGGCTTCCCGTTTTTGTGAACAGGCGGGGTCCTGTATTTTTTCCAGAAGCTCAATGGTCCTCATCTTTGGAGGCGAACAGTTTAGATTGATCAAGATCCTCTGGGATCTCATCCTGGAAAGGGTGTTGATGGGAACCAGTATGGAATTTCAGTGGTTGACGGTTTGGGATTTTCAGGAGAGGTTCCATTGGAGTGAGGCCATTGGCTTAAACAAGCCCCTATCAGAATACCATCTTGAGTGGTTGATGGGACTTAGTACTGGGGTCTAATGTGTTTCACTGTTTTTGGGGGTTGTCAAAGCTGGTTGGGGGTGTCTCCCTTTAGCCAATCCCATTCAAGTAGCATGGACGGTGCGTAACCTTTCATGGGCATTTTATGCAACCATGTTAAAGATTCTCAATGGAATCCTGGGAGTCTAGCCCATGGCACGCATGCTTAACACGCGGTTGCCCATGAACATGATCTGCATCTTCAGCTCTTCTCAAAGGGTTGGCTTGTCTCCTGTTCGTGACGGCTACGTTGGACCCTGCCCAACCGTCCCCTTGAACATAATTCAGCGAGGGCAAACAACAACCGTGAAATTCAATATGGAGGTGTGTTTGTTTCAGGATACCCCTTCAAAGCAGTTTCAAAGGGAATCCAAAACGGGGGTCCACTTAAAAACACACACACACACACACACCCATATGCTCCAAGCCGCTTTTAAAAAGAATCGCCCAAGGCTCGAAATGTTGATTGGCTCCCTACTTCCCTTTCCCAGCCGAAAGATTCCACCCCATGCGTGTCCTTTTGAAGAAGGACTCGCTCTTTGTCAGGGGTCCCCATGTTTCCCTTTTTTGTGGATTTAAACATCACCTTTCTTGCCCATTTAAGGTGAGCCTCCCTTCATGGGGGTGATATTTTGAGGGGAAGTATAGGGAGCCCTGCTTGTGGAAGATTTTGGTTTTGCAAGTTTGCCAGGGCTTGGCCCTGACACACGGATCCTTTCTGCCTACTCCAGGACTTTCCGCGAGCATGTCGTTCGCGGAGGGGACCAGCGAATCTTGTTATCATGAAGGTTCCTTACTTGGCGCATTTTCTTATTTGGCTGTGGGTCAAAACCAATGGGATCCCATTTTGGGGTAGGTGCACCACCCATTTTAGAACCTATCTTAGTGGGGATTGGGATGTTCACTGGGGGTACGATTTGGATTTGACCCATGGCCATTTCAGTACATCCACAAAGCCATGCAGCCATCCTGTGGTTAGCAGGGATATACCTGTCGATTTTCTGTCTAGAACATGACCCCACAAAAAAAGGTTTTCTTTTAGCTTGTCTTTAGCCAAAAAGGTGGTCCAGGCCATTTCGCACACCCCCTGGCGTAAAAAAAGTTGATCCGTTTGAGCTGTAGGATGGTGACCCTGGCACCGCTGCACTTCGTCTTCCAGGCGCGAAAAAGGGCGCAGTCGCGAGAATGGGCCTGAGAAAAACCCAGCCCCAAAAGGGGTGCATTCCCCGAGAAAGACGCCCATGGTTCTTTCATGGAAACTGGCCCTGCAACTTAGGGCCCATCATTTTGAGACGCTGATTTCGGGGATCAGCAGTGAGGGGCGGATTTTGCGAGTCTCATTCTGTTCCATGACACCAGTAGTGCTGTTGTATCTGAGTAGATCCAGAAGCCGAGGCCCAACCAATCCCATTGTGAGCGCATGGGGGATTGGGTCATTCAGAAAGTGATTGGAGTAAAACCCACTTGACACTCACCACCCAGAAACCCCAAGAGGGGTGTCACTGGAATCCCTTCCCCAGCTTGGTCATTTTGGTGGGGCTCAAATGCACGTTGTGGGCTCTGGCTTTAAGTGAGGGTGTCCTGGGGGTTGGTGCACAAGGGCAACCAAAGGAAGAACCGGAATCCATTGTCCATGTTCTATTTTGCGACACAAATGGACCAGAATCCTGGTATAGATTTCTTCTCAGATACTTTTGCTGATCTTGAACCAAGATCCTTTTCTGCAACTTCATGTAGCATGTTCGCGACATGTGGTTGCCAGAATCAAGCATAGCTTTGGTTGGGGCAAAAAAGCTGCCGCATAGGCCAAGATCATTGGAGCCTACATCACCAACGAGATCACTCTGGGAGGCGCTGAAAGTGATGCTTGATGATCAGGCAGAGATTGACTGGTGCTAGGAATGTGCTACACTTTCGTGGCTTGAGTTACGTTTTTCTTTTTTGGGTATGGGCACGTGCCTTCACCATGTCTTGGAGCTCATGGTGGGTCTTTGGGAGGGCATTGGGGTGTTTCCAAGGACCAAAAAGCAGCCAGCCATTTGAGGCTCCCCCAGTCCGTTTTCTCAATTGTGTTCACATGGTGTCGTGTCCATTTGCGTTGGCCGGGTGCCTGTCCGACCAGTTCCCGGGCAAAGGAGAAGGCCACAAGAGTTGTTTGAGGTTTTGCGACCTTACTAGAATGACAGCAGATCATGATCTAAACATGATAGGTTTACCGGGCTGGCAAAAGCTCGGGAAGGTTCAGCTATCAAACGAGTTCATGGACACGCTGACACAAACCAACCAAACAAACAGTTCAAGGATCGACTGCAGGCAAACCATTGCTGTGATCTGAATAAAACAAAATTGTGGCCGGAGCTCCCCTGGATGGCAGGGTCCGGCCAATGGGCAAACAAACTTGACTGATCAACACCAGGCGGCCGGGAGAAGACCTGCGGGTGTCCAATAGCGGGCCTTCCCAGAAACCATCCAAAGGCAAACCAAAAGAACATCACCTTGCTTCTGGACGCACGGATATGCAGACGCCGCAGCAAAACCGCAGGTGCTCTCAAAAAGACAGACCCACAATGTTTTTATCATCATACCATTTTCGTGACCTTGTTAACGTGCTGTGAGGTGTTTTTGTAGGTTGTGGTTTCAATGCGCATGGGTCAATCACGTGTTTGTGTGTGTGTGTGTGTCGCTTCGTGTCATTCCTTTCTTGAGATGTTCTGTCTTTTTTGAAAGTACCCGTTTTTTGGTGGTTTGAACGGGTCCCAAAAAGAGACACCCCCAGCTGCTTGTTTTTCCCCGTTCTGACCGTGTAGTTCTAGGGGACGCTTCCCCATTCTTTCCAGGGATTCTTCTTTCCAGAAAACCATCAGAACCCCAGGGGAAACAGCGATCGGTTTTTGAAAAGAACGGTGAAAAGAATGGAATTGGAATCAACCCCTACATCCCTATGTTTCCCCTCTTGCTCTTGGGTGCTGTAGATCCAGCAAACAGGGAATGAACCCCTAGAGTAGTATCGTGTTTAATTGAGGACAAGCGGCACTGCCCCGCTGTCAGGTGCCAAGTATCTGCCCACAGGGCGAGGGCTACCCACGGAGCGGCGGTCCTTCGTGAAGCGAGCCTCGGCAAAGGTATCATTTGGCTTGGATTGGTTTTGTTTCGCTGTTAATTATTGGTTTGGTTTGGTTTGATGTGATTATTGCTCGTGGCTTGGTGTGGTTTGGCTCGGGTAGTTTGGTCTGGCTGTTGGTTGGCGTGGTTTGGTTGGCGACTCATCTTGTGTTGCCGTGCGAATGGTCCAACGCAGATCGAACTGGGCGGTTGGTCAGTTACCGGCGCATGCATGCACATTCGGGCGACTGAGGGAAACCACCCATTTTGGAGGTTCCCCCATTGTGAGAATACTCGTAGAGAGTTTGGTCTTGGAGCCACAGCCAGTAGATTCATTGTTCGGTAAAGCAAGTGCAGCTTTGCCACGGAAACCTGGTTGTTCAAAATATGCCCCTTTTAATATTCTAAGAGTAAGTTCCCCATTCTTTCCAGGGATCCTTTTTTCTAGAAAACCACCAAACACCATGGGGAAATGGCTGGTATTTGAAAAGAACGATGGCTGAAAAGAATGGGGAATCAACTCCTACAAATATGGGTCTTGTGAGAAGACAGGATGCTTTAGCCAATCTCGCCAGACTTTTTGTTGATTTCGGCAGCGTCGGGCGAACATCGGCCGTATGCTCGTATGAGCGAGGTCTGCACCATCCTAAAATAGGGATGAACCCCGACCTGGTGTTTGGTTCTGTTTATTCTACACCGACTGTCTTGGGTTCTGTCCAGCAGGGAGCCAAATCGCAAATTGCTACGTGTTGCTTTGGTTTCCATTTTTGAACATGATTTCCTCCAAAACATGGGTTCTCGATCGTTTGAATGGACACCAGCAAATTGATCAACTTTTGATATGGAAATCCAGCTGTCAAAGCCTTTCCCCCAGCCCACCCCGGCCCCACTTGAGGCATAGACAAAGGCCGGGACGCGTGACGCGCGACGCCTTCGCGCCGCTTTCGCGCGCTCAGCCGCAGCCCAGCCCAAGCATCGCAGAGTTTGTTTGCCAGTCAAGCATCTATCCGGGTGTACTGCACCTATTATTATATGCATATATTGTGCATAATTACACATTGTGAACACCTTTATACACGGTATACGTGTACTGCGCGCACGTTCGGACGCTGTCTATTCGAGCGAGAATCGAAGGGAAAGGAATCCACAGGTTTTGGGCTGTGCAATGGTAAACCTTTATCCTTCCCTTGATATGAAAGGGGTGGCCTTTGTTGTGATTTCCCAATGTGGTTTGGGGAATTTTGTAGGCCAAGCCTCCTTGTTGAAGAGCCCAGTATTTTGCCTTCCCTAAATATGTCCCTCTAAGAGTGGTTTGAAGCATCACAGTTTGGCAGTCCGATTTACAGGGATTTCCTTTGAGTTCACGTTCATAGGTCGGACACGCATTTGGAAAATCCTGCACATGGTCCTGTCTAAGCAAACAAGGCTGTTTCAGCGGTTGACCAGGACCTCTGTCCGAGTGGTGTCCCAAAACCTTAGCTGAGGCTTACTGGGCTTACCGGAATTTCTCCAAAGAGACCTTCTGAAAGAAAACCGAAGGGAGACCAAGGGTTATACTTTGGGTGTTTGGAATTTTGAGGGTAGCCTTTTTGGGGTGGCTCATGGCAGATAAAGTGCGCGCCAGAGACGCGCGAGAGTGGCTGACCGTGAAGCAGGTTTAATTATCATTTGGGTTGCCATTGCTGAGTTTTCGTTTGCTGGGGCGACGATTGCGTGCTGACGTGGGTGCCTGTTTCATTTGAGAATTGGTCGCGTTTGTTGGGTGCGTTTCGAAGGACAACTAATTAAAAGGAAACCGCTCTGGAGCCCTTTTGGGGGGAACCCTGAAAGCACACAACCCCAACACCCCCGTCTTCCACGGCCATGGCCCCAAAAGGTGATCACCTTTCATATGGTTTTTATTCAGGAACAAAAAACCGAGAACCCCAACGGAACTTCCTGAAAGAACCCGCAAAAAATGGTTCGCCTGTTCTTTTCTTTCGCCTTTAAAGCCCCCCTGAAGGACCCACACAAAATGGTTTGGATTTTTTCGTTGTGTTTGCCTTTAAGCCCCAAATTTGGTGTAATTATAACCTAAAAGCCTTGGGGTTTTTGTAAAGCCTTGTATAACCTAAAAGAACGAGAACCCAAAGAAAAATCGTCCCGAAGAGGCGGGGGCCTCTTCAACGACTACGCCGTGCTGGCGCTCTACGACGGCGCGCAGCTCCTGGTAGCGGCCTTGCTGGTGATCCGGGCAGGCACGGGATCGGAAGCCAAGCACTCTTCCCCAGAATTAGTTCTTGTTTTTTGCGTTTTTTTTTGGGGGTTGTCTTTTTCTTTCTCCGTTTATTTTGTTTTTGCCTTTTTGGGAGGGTTCCCTTTGTTTTCCACTCACCAGACAACAAAACATGTTTTTTTGCTGGGGTCCTAATTCCAGTCTTTGGGGTCCAACGAATCAAATCGGGGAGGGGGGCAGGGAGGAACAGCGCGAGAAAAAGCGTGAAGGGAGGGGAGGAAGAGGGGAGGCTGGCTTGGTATCGAAGAAAGAGGGCTCAAACCCAACTTCCATGGAAATTATCCGTTGAATGGCCTCCTTCTTTGGTTCTTTTGGTCATGTCCACTTGGCTTGCCGTAAACCTCTTCCTTCCTGCACTGGGAGGTACAGTACCCGGTACCCAGCGAATGATCCCAAAAGGAGTGCCCCTGTGAAAGTTCCATGTGGAGTTTGCATTCAACAGTTGGAGGCATTTGGAACAACACAAAGAAGGATCGTTAGGAACTGTGCAAATATTGATGTTAGATTCATACCAATTTGCGAAGGAGGCACACATTGTATCGGGCTCACTAAGCAGATGAATCTCAGGTGAAGGTTGTAAGTGCGGGCCCAATGTTTGAATTCCAGTCAAACTGTTGCACTCAAAGTCGGTTCGGTCCAAGGTTTCAGTGGCTTTTTTCCGGCGCATGAGAGTTGTCTCAGCGCATTGACCTGGTGTCCCATTCGAATTGCGGCGTTTGACGAGCAAGAACTCCTCACGGTACCTTCGTGCGGGTTCCATGTTCGGTAGGAGAGCACACTGCGCATGGACCTATTGCGTTAACGTACTGAGGGAGTCTCATGTGTTTTTTTTTTCTTTTTTTTTCTGGCTTAAAAGGAAGCCAACCTGCAACCCGAAACAAATCGTTTTTCTGGGGGTGAGCCCAAAGATTTCCAACATGGAGCCATTTACAGGGAGTTCGATTGGTTTCAACACACTCGCTGCCGGTTCCTTCAGCCGCTTCGAAGTGTCAAAGGCCACCTTTCGGAGAACGGCTTCGTAGTTATCCTGTGGTGGTCAAGGGACCACCAGCGGAATCCTCAAAACTCTACAGGCCCCCAGTGCACATGATTGGACCCTATTCGGACCTATCAATCCCTGGATACATCTTATATCGCCCATCTAGATACATATCCACACACAAACATAGCACATCATAGTCAGTACATGCATACGGCACATATTACATACACATGTACTTACGTCTCTACAGTCCAAAAGCCACATGCGTTTTCCCGCCTTAGGTCTCGGGCGGTTTGGGACGGGTGGTTCCGAGCAATTCGCGCCATGGGCTGCAAACGGGCCGTGGTGTTGCGGCTGTTGGCGCTGAGCCATGTCTGCTTCGCAGGGCCCTGAGAGGGCTGAGCTTACCCGAAATGCCAAGGAGGTGTGTGAGACCAGCAAAGCGGCTTCACGGTGTTTGTTCGTTTGTATGTGTGTATATATATATATACACGTGTGTGTGTGTGTGCGCGTGTGTTTGTGTTTGCGTGTCTTTGTGTGTTCGTTTTTGCGTTGGTACCTCTTTTAGGTGAATTTAAAGTGCATAGCGGGAGAGCCACAGGAGGGTGCTGTAAGTCGCCTCGATTCAGTTGCTTTGGCTCCGAAATTGTATTTTGAATGCTAATCAGCCGGGGGCGCCCCTTTAGCGCCTCTTTTTGTTCTTTTTCTTTTGGGGGGAGATTTATTTTTTTTGGGGGGGAGGGGGGCCGGAGAATCAACCAAAGGTCAACTTTTCTTGGCGTGCCAATTCTCAAAGACTTCCCACTCTGAGCCCCCAAAGAAGAAATATGACAGTTAAGCCGGGTCTGGTGGTACAACCTTTGAAGTTTACGTCCGATCCAACTTTGACTTTGAGAGGGTAGCCTCACATGTGTCCCCTTCGAAGCCCCGTCAGTTCGGAAACAAATCCAAATCAATCACAGAAAGGACGACCCTCGCAATTCTCAGGGGAAATCCACCTGGGCAAACTTTATGGAAGCTGGTTTCGCACATGGGCATAGGTCAACATTGCCTGACTCCCTCAGTGATGGCATTTGCCCACTGTACAAGCTGCTAACCAACTTCTCCCTTGTTCACCCGAATGTTGACCCCCTATTAATCGACCCAGTTTATGAATAGGGGGTGTTCCTCTCCAATAGTCAACAATCCCCACTCAATGCAGGGACACCCCCATATTACTAAACAAGGGTTTTACAAAAAGGGGGTGTGCATGATTCATAGACTACAGAGAGGCAAGGTGCAGCCTTTCCAGTTGCCAGCAATTCTGGCAATTGGCTGGGGGTCAAAAATACGTCCATTTGCTGAATATTTGTTTTTTCTTTTCCCTTGTTGTTTGTAAAAGGAATTTATCACTACTGGAAATATTGTATTTTGTCCATTTGGTCTTAACCAAATGGGAAAATAGGATAACTCCAAAATGGGTTGCCCTGGTACATGGAAACAAGGACTACAGCCAGCGGTCCAGTGGCCTAATTTTGACCCACACCCAATTGTGCATTGTTGTTTGATGTTTTCCCATCACGATGGAATACAGAATCCCCTTTTCCTTGGGGTCACTGGTTGCACCATTCGCCTAGTGCCTCACCAGCATGAACCTCTAGGGTTCACCATGGATGCAACACCCTCTACTGAAATGCATCTGGATTACTAAGAATGGCAACCAGAAGCACACAACTGATGCTTTCTCCTGGTCCACTAAGACTGGGGAAAACTGGAAAGCACCTGACACGGACAGATTCTTACTTGCCCCCTTACCTGCTAAAACTAGGTCCCCCAGTACTGCCCTTTCTCACCCCTTTTTTGGGGGAGGGTTCCCCTACCTTTCAAAAAAGTTGGTGCCAACTGATTCTAACCTCTCCAATCTGGAGGACCTCTCACCTCTCAGATCCGGACCTCGAAACTTCGCTGGTCACGTCCGACCTCGGCCCCGACGGCCCCGACGGAGGCCTTGCTGCTGCTGGCCATCCTCCTCTTCCGCCTCTGGGAAGGCGCCCGAAGAAAAACGCGATCGAGCGATCGAGCGAGCGAGCGAGCGAGCGAGGGAGAGAAATGCGAGGAGTGCCGAGCGGAGGGAAACAAAATGTGACCCACAGTTGTCCTGGATGTCCCGCGTGGCCATGTAGATATATTGTATATATGGGAGTCGTTCTAAAGGTCCTTGTAAGGAGTTTAGTATTCGGTGACCATCGGTGTTGGTTGAGGTAGCTCCGCGAAAGATTCGCGATGGAGTTGCGAAAGTAACTTTTTTTCTCGCGAAAGTTTTGCGTAACTGTAAATCAATGATATGTGAAACCATTCATCTTTGCTGCTGAGCCTTCCTTCTGCGCTGATTACAACACTTTGTTGATTTTGCGCCGAAAAAGCCTGGTGAGGCTACAGTTTGATACCCTGCTTGGCTGGTTGGTGCCCCAAGCCTGTGTATGTGTGCCTGTGGGTGTTTACTCGGCGCCTTTCCGCTCTGAAACGTGGGTGGTTTTTCGCGAAAGTTCCGTGAAAGATCCGCGAAAGCCCCTGCGAAAGCGGCTTCGATTGTAAGGGGAGGTACTTTCTGAGCGCCGCGCTTGTCAGTATACCAGCTTGGTACTGGAAAGTTGCGACTTTAAGCTGGAGCTGCACGGCTTACGAAAAGCTGCGTCTTTCCAGCCCGTGCATGTCATGCACTACCCCTGTGATGAAAGTTGCGACTTTACAGCGGGAGTTGGGGAATCGAATTTCGCGCACTACGCTGGCACTTAAAATCAGCGATTTTCTGACTTGAGCAAGGAAAAGGGCACGGCGATGAATCCGCGAAAGATTCGCGAAAGTAACTTTTTTATTCGCGAAGAATGGCCGTTTCGAGACAAAGGAATATAGAACAACCACCATATATATATAGATGTGTACATGGATGGAACTACCTTTTTGCTGTTTGAAGGCTGTTTTGGAGATGCAATGCAGCTGCTTTATTCGGAATGATCCATGCGACTTGACCAGCATCAGCTCACTCCAACCAAGGAAATCCTCTTCAAAATCTAGTTTGGAAGAACAATTCCAATCGATTCCAATTGTTTTTTTGCAAATTAAATCCAATTTAAAAATTATTTGAAATTCGAACACTGTACTATAATTATGTCCTTATCAGAATCCAGTTAATTCTAAATATCAAGTGGAGAAACAGTATTTCGGAAAGGACGTTCTCTTTGAAATCTATTGTGAAGCAAGAATCCCAATGAACAATGTTCTTTAAACATGGAAATCCTAGTCAAATCATGTTTAAGTCTAGACAGTATATTTCGTGTTGTTCACTTTTAATTTCTATTTGAATTATCATTAGAAAATTGAACAACCCATCCTGGAAGAAAGAAAACATCCTTCTGAACCTCTAATTTGAAACAAACCGTCCTTTAACAAACAACCTATGTAAATTATGTTTAACCAGAAATGTTAATCGAATTATGTTGTTATTAAGTTACATTCAACATATGCCAATAAATCCACCCGTTTGAACATCTAGTGTCGAATACAATGTGTGATTACAAATCTTGTTCGACAAGGAACTCCTATTTACATCATCTGTCATCTAGAAACTCTACTAGGGTTGTGTGCTTATTCAATGCCCGTTCAATTCTAATTAGAAGATTGAACAAACACAATGATAGAAACAAATTACCCTTTTAATTCATCCTTCAAATCTATTTTGAAACCATAATTCTAGTTGGTTAATTGATTGTTTAATCCTTGTTGAATTCCTAGCAAAAAAACATAATCATAATAAAAGCAAAACACGGTGAGTTTTATTTGAACCAGATTACATGTTTCCAATGAAACTTATTGAACAACCATCCACGAGAAACAAGTCAGATTCCTATACGCGTGAGTCGATAAACATCCTAAACCTGCCCATTATAAGCCAATGGCTCCAACATAGCTGTTGCTTTGTATCTTCTGACCAAACTTCAGCT